TTGCTTTAGAATTGCCTAGAGTTACATCATCCCAAGAGGTACATTCAGCCTCAGATGGTATATGATGTTTGCACATAAAATGCTAAAGCTTTGTGAGGCGCTCAGACAGGGAGGTGAGGTGAGGCCGTTACAAAACAGATGCTAGCAATAGTTTTGTGGTAGGTGCTTCCATGATAGAATAGCCTGTATTCTAAAAATGCTTCTCCTGGACTTTTTACTTGGAAATAATTTTAACTCACCATGAAAATACATTATTTTGATCTGACATTAACTGCTTTTTCAATTGTATACAGATTTTATTGACTAGGAAAAAAAAGCATAATTGCACTGGTGACTAGGACAAATGAGACATTTCTGAAATAGCATAATGACCATCTAAATTCTTGAAGTGATAGGATTTGGTTTGGAAGTGATGAATTAATTTGATATTATATAGAGAGGGGGAAAAAAAGCATCAGAGAAAAATCTTTATCCAACATATGTTGGATTTGTGCATCCTCAGTTGGTTTTACATCCCATTTTCTTTTTGGCAGAAAACTTGGTGATTCAAGTGAACAGTCATTTTTCCAGAAAGTAAAGGCTGAATGGGGAGATGATCAGGATCATCTTTTTATTATTGACACTAAATATTCATCTGCACAGTTCAGTAATAGATACCTATATGTGCTTATGTGACATACATAAATGAGCATATGCATTGGTTGGTTCTGTATATATGTGGATTATATCAAAGCATACTGCTTATAGCTGAGATACAGGAGCCTGACAAAGCAGAATATATAGAGAGCTGAAAAAGGAGGCTAGAAAACCTTTCCTGGAGTCTGGGGTCTCTCAGTCTGATACATACTCCCACTAGCTGCTCCCTGGATGATTCATAGTGGTGTAAAAGAGGGCTCAGCAATTTGTAGCACGTACATTTGTAAGATCGTCAGACAACACCTTTTGGCTCATGCAAAGTTTCTCCAGGCATATTTAACTTTTAATCTGAGAAATACGTACCCTGGTATACTGCCCTTGTTTATCCCTACTGTAATATTCATCTATAAATGCGGTGAGACTCTTTGGTAGATATTCAGCTAGCAGTCTGGTTGTGATCACATCCTAGGAAAAAATCTGTCTTTATTACAGTGGATGGTGCTTATGTTCATTTTATTCATTTGAAGGAAATAATGCATCTAATATTAGCTCAGTTCAGTGTTTGTTCTTTTTTTTTCTTTTTTTTTTTGGTATTGTATTCTGTTTCTGATATGGAAACACTTGCTCTGTATTTGTGTTTGGATAGCCACCTAAGATTGAGTTCTAAGAAGTGTTACCTTCCCTCTCTCATCACTTGTGGGTTTTAGCTTTGTAGCATTGTCTGCATAATCAGCATCCCCATTACCTTTAAAGCTTTTGTGAATAAATACATTTCTTCATGATGCGAGATATAGAAAATATCCAGGAGTTTCTGAGAGCAGTCTGATATCTTCCTATCAGTTCATCAGCCCAAGTTAACCCAACTTAAGAATTCTATAGTCAGACATAAGATATTATAATCACAGTGGTTTAAAGACAAGTATGTTAACCTGTGCATATTCATTTGCTCAAGCCCTCATACCTTGAGTCTTGCAAAGACAAACGAAAGTCCATGAAAGGAACAACACTTTTAAGTGTACAGTTTGGGCTCTGCTTCCCATGTGTAATAATGGAAGGCCATCTTTTGGAGTGTTTGCTCAAGCCATTTATTTTTATTACTTCTTTATTTCAAGGTAAACAGGGATAGGTTGATTTTGCAGTCCTGATGTTCCATGTCCTCATGCCCATTTTATTTAGTTTGGAGATATTCTCCAGGCTTCCAGAAATATACATGTTTGTGCATGTCCCTCCTCTCAGTCTATAAAGACAGGCACTTATCAATCCTATACTTTTATGACACCTCAATATTTTTTTCTCAGCATATTTTGAAAATTCTGACAGCACAAATTTGAAAGTGTCTGTACTCTCGTGTGTTCACCTGCTCATTTCTTCTTGTGTAACTGCTTATCCCTATAGGCCAATAGATATTATCAGTAAATCCGCCTGGCCTAATCTCCAAAATGTCTCAAAAATCTTCCTTTTCCTCTTCATTCTCCCCACATAATCTTTGTCAAGTCCATCCTTTTCCACATCCATGACTACTACGACCTTGCTGCCTTCAGCCTCTAACTGACACTCCCATTAGCCACTTTTTAAAGTACTCTAATGCAAAAGTAATCCACTGCTCCTGGTATTGAGATCTCATTAAGATATTCCTAAATCCCCCTTCTTCACTGTCTCCCTATTGCCTTCTAAATCTGATCTAAGCTCCTTTTATCACCAGAGTTCCTTCTTGACCTAACCTTCCTTGTTCTGTCTTTCTTGTTCCATTCTTCCCTGCCTTTCTTCTTCATGTGCTCCCTGCTCACCCATTGCCATTCATAAGTTAAATCATTTACCAATTAGACCTGTGCTCCTTTTTTCATGCTGTCCACTATGCCTGTGAGTGGTACCTTTCCAGATGGAGAGTATCCTGGCCTGTCTTGTATAGTTCCCTTGATAGATTTGTATTTTTGTCTCTAAAAAAAAGTGGGTATATTCCATCAAAAAAGAAAGAAGGTATTTGCCGCCTTAGAGTGAGATTTTGTTTCATTTTGAATTATCCATGATTTCTTCTGTGTGCCTTGAATCAGGAAAGAAATTGAAGTTTTTGCTATAAATTTAACAATAGTATGATTCAAGAAACTGCTCTCCAGCTAGCCTCTGTGAACACCTCTTGGAGAAAGCTGATGTCTAGGTGAAACTGCAGTGAACGCTGCTGACTTTTCAAAAACATACCTTCAACTCTAAGACCAAGGAAGTTCAGATTGCATCTTCTTCCTGTCTGCACTTGCTTAGTCTTTGCTTGATTTTGAGGAGCAGAAGAAACAGGGCAATGAGATATAACTGCAACATTAGAAGTGTTCCAAACGAAGCCCTTATTAGTCAGCTGAAATTCAGCAGCAAGATCTCTAAGTAGAGTCACACGGCAATTCAGTGCATGTCAACATGAAGGACAGGACGTGCAGATCAAAGCTCCTCACAGTTTGGCTGACTTTCTGTTCCTGTGTGCCTCCGTGTGTTAGATTACAGGAAAACTTAACAAAACAAACTAACTCCTAACTTCTTCCTCTCTTCCCCTTCAGGCCCTCCCCCCTTCACAAACTCAAACAAGGGAAAAACAGTTCTCTTACACCTGGGCTCTTTGTTCATTATTCTGTGGTTCATCAAAAATTAACGTCCGGTTACTGGAGCTTCCTCTGTCTTTGCCAAGGTGCTGGATAAGTGCTTTGTGCCAACCAGACACCTACGTGCTATTTCTGCATGCCTCACTCCTCCCCAGTTTGAGCAAGGGTTAACACATTCAGTTCCAGTCAGGAGCCATCACCAAGAAGCTGGAAAATCATGAAAATCATGTTGTTCATAACAACGTAAAAAGAAATCACCATACCCTTCATCCATTGATAATTTCCAACAGCGGGCTGATGTGTTCCCATCAATTCAGTAGCAAAAACCCAGCTTGAGACATACACTATTTAATCATAGTGACATTCCATATCCTCATGTCTCTTTTACGAAGTTTAGAGATATTCTCCAGTCTTCCAGGAATATGTTTGTGTGTGTCCCTGTATAAAGGGATCAATACGACAGTTTTACAACACTTCAGTTTGTGAGTCGTCATCGTCAGGATACTGGGAAACAATGGCATGCACATCACTCCTAACAAGATCAGAAAAATTACTGCCATGTTCATGGGTCATGTCAGTGCGTGCGGAAGTGCCGGTGATTGGGTGCTTGAAAAGGATGCAGTTGTTCTCACGTTTTACCAAGGGGAGGGCCAAACACTTTAGCAAAGTGCCTATATTGACTGTGTCATACTACGTAGAGCACAGTTTCAGTCACATGAATTCACAGAAACTCAGGCTGCTTCTGCTCCAGAGATTCCCAGCCATACAATGGTCTTCCTGCCTCTTTCTACCCTATCTGTATGTCTTTGTTTTCCTCACAAAGCAGAGGCCAGTTGATTTCCTGTGCCTCCTCACAGGCTGTTACCCTTAAAGCGATATAGCTTGGCTACAGTAAGGCTCTCTCTTAAGGACCAAGAGGACTGTAGGAGGAACGACTGCGGCCAGCCAGGATTGTCTGTAAAACGCTGTGTCTTGGAGCTCACGTATGCAGAGCTCACCAGGAAAAGGTGGGAGGGAGCATGTAGCCTGCTGCCTCAAAACTCGTAAATCCTGAGCTGGTTACCAGTCTCTTTCAGTGCTTCCTCATCCTCCCGGATTTGCTGCCCTATCCCCTCGCTCCGGGCTGTTCCTTTGCCCTCCGGAGGCTCACGCCTTCGTCCAACCTTTCCCTTCCACCCGCCAGGCCCTCCCTGCCCTACTTTGTGCCCCAGGCCTGCTGGCTTCCCCAGCCACACCACCACCCCCCTTCATCCATCATCTTCATCCTCCTCCGGACATCCTCCCACAGAGCTCCTTTAACCCATGCTTCTCTAACTCGCTCACCCCTGAATCTCCTCTGGTTTTCCAGGGCCCAGACTCCAACTTTATAAGCCTTTACACGATCCAGCCTGGTGCCTCCCTGTTACTTCCTTGCTTATTCCTTCCTCATTCATTTCCTCCTCGCTGGAGGAGCAGGTCCTCAGCCCTCTCTTGACCCTCCCTGTGCTGCTCGGAGCGTCTCAGGAGCGTTGGGAAACGTGAAGCTCGGGACGAGGGGCTGTGTGAGGGCTGTGGCTACACCAGGCTTCACTTTCCTCATAGGTTTGTGCGCGTATTTTGCACATACTCGTACATTGTAAGGCAGGGAGTTATTTCCTGTGACACCGGGGCTCTGCACCACGCACCACGCAGCAGCAGTACCAATGAAACTGCTCCCGTTCCTAGGTAGGTGAAATCCCCTTCCCCAGGGAGCGATCGGCAAAGGGAGGGTAGAGGGGTCTGGCGGCACGACCAACGGGGATGACAGTGCAGGGGCTGGAGAGAAGTGAGTGTATTGGAGATGGGTGGAAAACTGCTAGGCACAAGAGACTGAAAGCTTCCCGGAGTTGTGATTGCTGCTGTGATTTGGAAATCCCACCGTTAGGGTGGTCTCAAAACCAAATCCCACCAACACCAATTGTTATCCCATTGAGTTCTGTTCTACAAAACCAGAACCACTCTGTACTTTTTTTTTTTTTTTCCTTATGAGATTTTTCAGTTTGATTTATTATGAGCACTAGCATGGAGTTAGAATCCCAAAAGTTTCTGTTTTAATCTCTGAAAGGTGATCTCCCCTCTTGAAATTGACTTGGATGATATATCATTGCTAAAAATTGTGCCTAATTTTTACTCTTTTGAATTTTTCATGAAATTTTTATTTGTCCAAGAAAACAACACCTCCGTGAGATATCCTGGAGCAATGAAACCTGTAATTGTGATAGCAGGCTAGCAAATATCCCAAATAATATTTGGGTAGGGAGCAGCAGAACTGCAGGGGAAGACAACATGCAAAAGCAACTTTCTGTAGTATAACTTTCATTATGTCTTGCAATCGATTTATAAAGTACAGAGTCAGAAACTTACTTTCTCTTCTGAATTACCTGCCTCATTTCTAAGATACTATTGGGTGTGTATAATTATTCATTGAGCTTGTATTTTTCTCAAAGGGAGAGATTGCTTCTTTCCTCTTTGTACTGAAAACTCTGTGCATTTATACAACTAGCACATATATCATTTGGGAATCACTCAGTAGTTGGAAAAAAGAAAGCAGGACTTTCATAACATGGAAATGGCATTTTAAGAGGTTACCTTTAAATAATTTGGAGAAGTTTTTACATCCTAATTCTACAAATGCTGCACTATGTCAATCCAATCTTTTCTGATCATGAATATGTGTTAGCAACATATGTATGGAAATGTTTTTAAAAAGTTTAAAAAAAAAAGATCTGGGGAAACCTCTTTGGTATTTGAAATATGTACACTTGCTATGTATATCCTTATTTGATATGTCACACTTGATATGTGTAGGACTGTTTGGATTACGCTCCATACATAATTCAGACTGCAAATAAATGTCTCTATTCACTAGAAAGTACTAGAGAGCTTTGAAAGCCTTTAAAATGATTTCCCAAGACCACTGAGTAACTTCTACATTGTTCACCAATTTTATACTTCGTGAACATAGAGACAAGTTCTTCATCTCTGATGCCTCCTTTTCTAGCCCTTGCCTAGTCTTAACCAGTAGCTGGTGGCCCTTGACCTGTTGTGTGATTCTGTGGTGATGTTAACTTTACCTGATTTCTGCCCTGATTTCTGGGATACCTTTTGCCCAGATCTGATTTTAGAATCGGGTATGAAGTTTTTAAATGAATGAACAAATATGATTTTGCTTTCAGTTCTTATATCCAGTCTCCTGGACTATGGCTATACTTCTGCAAACTGCAACATGACATGCCATAAAGATGCCCGGTGTGAAGTGCGGGGCGGAACACAAGGCTGCTATTGCACCCAAGGGTATACAGGAAATGGCATATCATTCTGTTATGGTAAGCAGATTTTACTTATATGCATTTGCATTATGTACATTTTTGAAAAACATACTCAAGAGCCCATTAGCTCAAGAAGTAAACGTTCTGTTGTAGTAACACGTTACATTAACATTCTCTGAAAGCCAAAAACTTAGGTCTTACCAACTTCTGAGCAATTCTGTATCTCAGCCTCAAACTTGAATTTTAACCATGCACCACATCTCGTTTGTGTAGGACCTGTTTTCCAGTTCAGTTTTGCTGCTTTCCTTTTGCATTCCTTATGCATTTTGCATAAATCTTCTCTGATTTAGCTTCAGCAATGTCCCTTGCGATACCAGGTTTTTGAAGCTTGGGGCTGGCATGACTGCAGCTTCACAGCCCTCACCTGTCATCCACGTGCACATAGCATTAGGAGACTTTTCCCAACAGCTGTGACCAAAAAAATATAGCTCCCAAGCTGAGTTAGAAGATGGAGGAGGTCTGTACTCCATGGGGAAATGCCAGCATGTGAAGCCAATTTTATTTTTTTTGCACTGCAGCTACTTACAAGAAAAATATGTTAGAAGTTCTGTGGAGGGATCTGGCCTCATGTGGAGTTCTGTGGAGGGGTATCAGATTCTGATACCTTCCATCCAAAGAAAAGCATATTTTCTCTGACTTTATTTTTGAGTTACCCCACAGTACGGATAGCGCTAACACTTCTCTGATGCTACACATAGCTATGCTCAGCTGCAGGCAGACTGAAATTCATATGAATCTTGTCACTTTTCAGCGTTCTGAGTGGTAGTTATGAATACAAACCAACCGTATGGTCAGAGTTTGTGTCTCGTGCATCTTGGGAAATTAAGCAATAAGAGGCTTGATATAAAATCATATCAATCAATTTCATATCCTATCAATAGCAGTTTGATATAAGCACACATAAGCTGTCCACCTTTAGTTTGGGTTTTCATAGTTCTTTTGTCATGGTATAGTTAGAAGTGTGTTTGAGGAAAATTTAAAGTACAAAGATCTTTTCTTAGGAAGCCTCCTTCCCTTTTTATGACCTGGGGATGTTCAGAGAGAAGTACAGCTGGCCCACATAATATCAAATATGTAATCATAAAATCACATAATTAATTTAGTTTGGAAGCAGCCTCTGGAGGTCTTCTGGTCCAGCTCCTCTCTAAAAGCAAGTTTGACTTAGATGAGGTTGCTCAGGTTCTTGTCTACACAAATTTTGACTGTCTCCAAGGATGAAGATTATACACCTCTCTGAGCCAATGTTTGACTAACCTCGTCTTGAAAAATGAAGATTATACACCTCTCTGAGCCCCCATTCCAATGTTTGACTAACCTCGTCTTGAAAACTTTTTTAAAATATCTACTTGGAGTTTTTCATGCAACTTGTTCTTCTCTTTTGCACTTTCTACTCTGCCTTGTTCTCTGTTAAAAAAAAAAAAAAAAAAAAAAAACCTTTGGGTAGTTGTAAATAGCAATAAGATCTCCTCTTTGCTTCCTCTTCTTAAGCCTGAGCAAACCCAGTTCCCTCAGCCTCTTCTTGTATATGGTATGTGTAATATAATCATTGAAAGTATTTCTTGAATATAATGCTTGTCATAAATATGGGCCAGTCATTATTGAACTGATCAAATGAGAAGAAGAAATAGCCTTCACTACACTAACATTTGCACTAATTCAATTTTATTACCAGTAAGCTGGTTGATTTCTAAGTAGATGTTTGCAGAATCAAGTACCTACACTTCTGAATAAGGCAAAGAGGAAAACCAAGTCAATTTTTAGCTGCGACCTGCAAAAAGTCAAACTAACATTTAGTTATTTCCCATAATCAGGAATCCAGCGCTTATTTTTCGTCAATGCTTTTCTAGAAAGTTGTGGTTATGAATCATCATGTAAATTTACAGTGAAGATAACTGTGCTTCCTTCTATTGACTTTGTTCTGCGAGGATGGAGTTAAGTTACCCTCCATATTTTACTTTTTAAATATTTTTTTCACTTTTTTTGTCTTTCATTTTTTTTAGGGAATTCTACTTTCAAATTCATAAAGACATTTATTGATTATTTAAAGAAAAATTGGTGCAATAAAATAGACAATCATTCACAAGCCTGAGAAGCAATTAGTTGTTTATTAAGAATTATTCTGAGTGTTGGGAAACTGAGTCTTCAAAAGAAAATTTCCAATGTCAGTTCAGGCAAAGCAGCTTCTAGCTCTATTTGCAATGCTTTGCACTTAAGCAGAAATGATTTGAAGCAAGCCTCAGGTCAGGACACCAACATTTTTTTCTGGTGAAGTACCTCAACAACCACCAAAGTCATTTACCCTCCAGCTAAGCAGCGGAGCTTGTGTTAGAACTATGTGGCTGTTGTCCTGAAAGAGAGCCTACATTTCTCTAGGGCAGCATGTCAGACAGTGCATTATTAATATTGTGTAGTCGTCCTCTAATAGCACAAACAAGTAGCATGAATTTTAATTGGGTAGGCTCTAAAAAGGATTAGAAATATAGTCGGAACCCTATCATAAGTAGTTTAAAGCTAAAAATAGTGTAAAGCTTCAGTTGCTTAATGATGTGTTAGATCTTGCTGTTCTGTATAGGGACTGCAGCAGGTATATCTACTATTCTGGAGATAGCTACCCATTTTTCTTCAGTTAATAATCTTAGGCTTCTACAATGATAGTCCAGTCACCTTCAAAGGAGATCATCAATTATGTGCTAATACAGGCGTTTTCTAAATAGTTCATTATGTGTATATGTTTGTCCTTTTTATTATTTAGATAGGTCGTAAGAGTCATAATTACTGTCACTGACATTAATAATTTTGTATAGAGTAGAACTTATTCTCCATTGTGCTTTTTATAATATCCAGTTAAACCATGGTTATGGTTATTTTGAGTTTTGTTTTGTTGTTTTTTTCTAGAACAAGAAGCTCAAGTTCTTTTTTATAAGCATGATATTGTCCTTGTAAAAACATGGAGCATCAAAAAATGTTAGTTTTCAATTTAGGTCTATTAAGCTTAGATAGGTCAAAAATGGTCCATTTTTATTTAAAGGGACATTCTCAATATACTTAAAAGATTTACATTTGTGTCTCTTCTTTCACTTACTTGTAACAACTTTCGAATACTTGTAAAAGTTATTTCCCTGCTTGTTCTGTCTTTTCCGTGTGATACACTTAGACATTTTCCCTTGAGTTTATTGTGCTGCGAAAGGCAATAATGTCCCATTACATTTATTTCCTAGCACCGTTATTGATGAATCATGAATCACTGATGTCAGCATACCTTAGGAATGGGGTTTGTTAGTTTTTACTTTGCTCCCTTTGCCAGCTGGCTAAGTGACTGCAGAGAGCTCAAGCTTATTGGATTTGCTGTGTATAGATAAAGACATATAGATATGAATTTAATTTCCTGGTGTCAAAGTCATGGCTTTTAAAATAATTATCCCCTTACAGTCTTTCCCACAAGATTTCCACCACTTTAAATTAGGTCATGTTTTGGACTTTCCAAAGGCGTACTTTGGCCAGTCTAACAAAAAGCTAATCCTCTTCATAATCTCATTGTCTTCAGCAAGAGTATGTGCAGGAAGTCCTTTCCAGTTCATTCTGGCTCTGATTTAGTAAAGTCATGAACTTGGAATTATAACTTACATAGTAATAAATTCCTTCTGTGTAATATCCTCCAGGAGGCCATAAATGAGTCACCTTGTCAAGCTTTACACCTCAGAGGTACAAAATAATATCATATTCTTCTTCTTGTTTTGTACTTATATTTCTTGTTTTATGTAATATGAGACAAGTGAGACTGGTCTCTGAAACTATAACTGTTTTCTTTTTAGGACTCTATTTTGGGGCAGATGCGTATTCCGAATGTAATACATGAGGCTTTAGTTTCACATTATTGTGCTCCTAATTGAAATTGCACAGCAAAAGTTCTTGGCATGAAGATAAAAATATAACCAGATAAGGCAGATTTATAGACAAGTTAACTTCCTCTTATGCAAGCATGGTATGGATTTTGTACAAATAAATAGCATATTTTTGCCATTTTTGTAAATCCATTTCTTTATATAAAAAGGGTGACCTTTTGCTTCAATATATGAAATTGGTTTGCAAACCAAAAAGAACTGTCAGACATACAAATTAGGTGTTGCTCATATTCTCAGCTTAATTTCAAAAAACAAGGAAACAAACAAAATTTCCGATCCTTTAGAGAAGATGGAGCGGAAGTAGAACTTCATGGAAGCCAATATTTTATTTTTAAAACAGAGAGAAAAATGGATTGGCATCACTGCTGCTTTCCCAAGCAGCTCTGCTGTTTCAATACTGGCTGCTTCTTGATTGCTGACTGCCAATTTGCTGCTTTGCTGGCACACTGCAGGAAATTAAAGTAAACAGTGTGATCACAGTGTTTACTTTAACTTTGTAAAATACAGCAGGAAAATGAAGCAGTGCTGCTTGTTCCAGGAGGGCAGGCAGGCAAGCAGGAAAAGTCTGAACACAGCATCCCCGCCCAGATATCATTGCACAATATTCCCCTGTAAATGTCACTTGCAAATTATACTTCCAAAATTAATCAGTCTTACTTGTGAAATGGTCACGGCTCTTCCAGAAGCAGTGAGCAGAGACTTGGGTGATCAGACTTGGGTGACTTGATCTAGAGTGCATTGCAATGGTATTTAGCCTTTTCCAGGAGGAAAAAAAAAAAAAAAAAAAAAAAAAGCAAAGTGATGCTTTGTATCAAAATATAGAATCCCTGCTAAATAGCAATATAATTTATATTTGCTCAGATGAATGAATTTGAAAGCCTACTGGAAATCTGAACATAAACCTTTTGGTGTTTTAGTGGGGGTCCCAGTTCCAGCTCTCTGCCTTTTGCCAGCTCTGAAAAGGAGCTTTCCCATGAGACACCAGCTTTTGCTTGCAGGTGATGTCACTGTGTCCCATCATCAACTTTTATTGAAGTCACTGAATCTGTTCTGATTCACTTGTGTCCTCGTTGCCCACAGTCCTCAATGGGTATA